GTTCAGAATTGTTTGTCGTCATATATTGAAGCAGACGTGCGTTAGCAATTTAATATCAGGAGATTCATGCTTGGCATTGATGCAAAAACTCATGCTTAAAGTTAACGCGTGGGAACCGATTTTATTTGACAATTTGAGATCTTACCTTTTCGGTAAGCAAGTGAATTGTGTCGAAGACATAGCGAGAAAGATTGCCCTTTACGTATCTTTTTACGATATTCCGTATAACGAAAACTTACCTTGCCAAAACTGGTTGGAATTAATGTGTAATATGGATAAATTAAAAATTCCACCGCACACAATGGATAAACTTCTCACAATAATGAATTCATGATTTATTAATTAGGAGGTAATATAGTAGTCTTGAAAGAATCAGAAAAGAAAATTATTTACACTTTGATAAGTATATAATTTTTAGTTGAACGATCTTTGTAAAGATAATTTGTAAACTCTTAGTTTAATTATATAATAAAGAATGTTACTTTTCAAATGTTTTTTTTATTCCTATTTTTATATTTTATAAAAAAGTGCTCCGGTTTTTAAGTATACACCATAGAACCATGTGGTATTATTTCTGTAATTAAATAGATGTGCATTTTTAGCTCAATGTGCATCCGTGTGAGACCGGGTTAAGAATAGTCTCACCGTAGGTCCCAGCGTGTCGTAGAAGGCGACTAAAGGGTACAAATATCCGGAAAGGTTTTATTTCTTACTTTAAAACTTTTACGTGATATTTTCTTATTTAGAAGTTTTAAATAACAATTCCGCCAACAATCTAAGATAGCAACGTAAAGGCTCTGTTACACAACGCATAGATCCACCCTTCGTATATGTTCGGTGCGACCTGGAGTGCGGATGTGCGTTCTTTGACTCCTTTATGTACCGCGTTGATACCTTATGAGACAATCTGTATATTTGATCAAAAACTAACTCATCTCCGATAACATTTTTTTATAATGAAATTAGGTAGTAGGTCATATAGTATTACAGATAATAAATTTAATGCCACAATAAAAAAAACTAATATCCCCGAACTTATATAAGTATATTAATAAATAATATACTTATAGAAAGGCCTTCACTTGGGTATTCACCCCAGAAGTAATTATCAACAGTAAAAAAAATAATGGCCACATGCTTAACGTTTATGTATTTTTCAATAAAATGTCAGATGTAATAATTTTATATCAATATTTCATTATTGCACTTATTAAAACTAAAGCAATTTTCATTTTTATAAAAAAATCTTCATTTGCACATACACGTGTTCGCCAACGTTTTAACATTAACATAGAGTACATTTGGATAATATCGACATTGCATAAATTTTATATTTACAAAACAAGTATATGACACAATATTTTTGTTATATTTGTACTTTAAACAAACATTAACACTATATTTATTAACAAAACTAAGTAACGTTCTTTAACAGAAGAAAAAAGTCTAATATCAACACTCTGATATACACTATTTACGAGTAAAGGTGAAAATATATGAATTTCATTAGATTATGCATTGTATGCTGTATTTCTTGAATTCTACCGGGTGTTCTGTCAATCACCATATTTTTGTTATATTTGTACTTTAAACAAACATTAACACTATATTTATTAACAAAACTAAGTAACGTTCTTTAACAGAAGAAAAAAGTCTGATANATGTATTTTTCAATAAAATGTCAGATGTAATAATTTTATATCAATATTTCATTATTGCACTTATTAAAACTAAAGCAATTTTCATTTTTATAAAAAAATCTTCATTTGCACATACACGTGTTCGCCAACGTTTTAACATTAACATAGAGTACATTTGGATAATATCGACATTGCATAAATTTTATATTTACAAAACAAGTATATGACACAATATTTTTGTTATATTTGTACTTTAAACAAACATTAACACTATATTTATTAACAAAACTAAGTAACGTTCTTTAACAGAAGAAAAAAGTCTAATATCAACACTCTGATATACACTACTTATGAGTAAAGGTGAAAATATATGAATTTCATTAGATTATGCATTGTATGCTGTATTTCTTGAATTCTACCGGGTGTTCTGTCAATCACCATCCATTAAATATTATTACTTTCCTAAATTTTCATGATAAAAATTGAAGCATTCAAATTTTATTTTAAGAAATCTTGCAACTCCAACTTATATAGTAAGTTGCAAATAATAATATTCCTTAAAAAAACTTAATTGGAGGCTAATTGTAGCAGTACACTCGGTATTATATCCTTAAACATTCAGACTTAAAATCACAAAAATTAAGAAGGCTTATTGCTAAATAACATCGTAAATGCTTTGTCAAATATGATATAACGTATTAATACCTACCACTACTTTTCATCTAAAAACATTATATATATATAT